ACGGTTGGGTTAGTCCATATTTGACCCAAAGTTGGGTTGAAACAACCCAGCATTTTTTAGAGTGTAGGTATCAAATTAATGCGCACTGGTGTTATTATTACTAATAGGGATAATTTACTCGTGCACACAAAAAGATCATTCTGTCATCATTTCGTTCATCATGTCGTTCCCAAACCATATGATTTTTCTTCTTTCATGCAATATTCAGAAGATGTTTAGCATGCAATTATGCAGTCATTTGATGGCTTAGTTATTAATCACTAAAAATATTTCACTCTTTCTAACATGTCTTATGGACTGCTTTTGGGGAATAAAGGTTTATATATATCAATATCACACGAAGAGTGCTGTTTTTTCTCTCTCCAAAAATCAGCATGATTACAAATTATTTTTACAACAGTTCAATAAACAAGAAGTTAATTAATAGACTTACGTTTTTGACACCATATTGCCTGTTTTTGCTCAATTTCGCCAAAAACAAAAATAAATCCAAACAGCAACAGCCCTGTTTTGCGTCTCTGAGCAACATGGTGTTTCGATTAAATTAATTCATCCATTTAATAAATAATCAATTTATTAAAAGGTTTTCTCTGCATTTCTCCTCTTCTCTAGATTGCTTCCTAATCTAGTTGTCTCTAATAAACCTGTCATTGTATATTAAGAATATTGTTGGCTCTTTGACAAATTGCTTTTGTTTCTCTTTTGTAAGTCGCTAAATTCATAGATGTAAATGTAACATGAGGGTGAGTAAATGATGCCAGAAGTTTTGTTTCGAGCATTCAATCCATGCAGATGCATGCATTGTGACTGTTGTGTTTCATGTTTTTTCCACTATTTCTTTTTCTCATTAGAGGTGAACCTCAACCTTGTAAAGTTCAATGAAAATCATGACGGAGAAACACAGACAGAGACGTACACAGACGATTCTTCAGCACAGACATTTGCACTAAATGTAAGGACTGCTTCATTATTAGATTCTTCGTCAATATTTGTTATATATTGTCTTGATTTCTTGTCATTCTCAAACGCAGGAAGATGGAATCAAATCCATTCAGATCAAAGAGGAGCACATGGAGGATGGACAGTGGGACAACGGACCGAGTAAAACACACACACATTCTTAAAATAACCATGCTTTTACAAATTAGGATAGAGCTACCAAGTATTCACTTTTTATGATTGTCAAATATAACATTTTAATCTCTAAAATTCTCAGTTGTTTTATACTTGTTTGAATGATTCCACACTGTTTTTATTCTAGTATCCCCTGCTCTTTGCCTGTTGGGTCTAGAGGTGGAAGACCAGGACAGTTTCAGTGCAGGAACAACAGGACCAGCTAGAGAGGGTGAGAGATCAGTACTAGTCTAACTAACTAGTCTTTAGAATTAGGGACTTTTTTAGCTGCTCTATGAAGCATCAGATTTAGTGCACAGTATATATAAGTCGGGGTGTAACACAAAAATTAGTTTTGGGACTGGTTTCGGTACAGTAGGGGGTAAAACTAAACATAAAATTGCTTATTTTTTTATTTTTTTATTCAATAATGATTTATTGAACAAATTCTGGTTCTGGTTCTGTCTTTAACCCTCTGGTGTTGTTTGTGTGGCGGTCAAAAATGACTGATTTGTTTTTTATTATTATTTCAATGACTTGAATGTCCTGTATTTTTTATTGAATATTTTGTATTTTTAGGGTTTTTTATGGTACTAAATTATATTTATGGAACACTTATGATCCATTTATTACCTGTTAACCGCTTTTTGAGCATAGACCTGAAAGCGTAATTTCCAACTTAAACTGTCATAAATCTTGAAAGCTTTGGAGTGCAGACTTAAGTTTGGTCTCTTTTTTAAAAAAGACAGTTGGCAGATTATTGCTGAAGTGAAAAAAGTTTAACTGCAACTAAAAAAAAAGTTATTGAACTTCAACTTGTATTATTATGAAATGCGCACAAAAATAATATTTAACAATTTTATATGAAATATATATTTTCCAAAACATGTTTTACTCTAAATCTGCAAGAAAATCAAAGCTATGAATTACAAACAAACTTATAAACAAACAAACAGCAGCACGAGTGTGTGTGTCCGTGTCGCCGCAGTGCAGCGCCACCATCTTAAGAACTCTGTCCTGCAGAGTTTAGCTCCAACTTCGCTTTAAACCAGATGTGTTCTAAATTTGAGGTTGATATCGCAAAAAATGAGCTTTCAGTAAGGTTTTGTTTGAGCGCAGTACCAAATGTTTCCACTAGATGAAATTCGCTTCCATTCATTTCAATTGCAGTCATTTTTGACCGTGAACAATACAAGTGTTACTGTTTTCTTCTGGACCATTTTATCTTTTCGAATCATGTCCATTATTATAATTTTTTCTGTTCATATAGCGAGTACCAAAACATTTACCAAGTTTTGTACTATTCCAATTAAGTAAAAAACCCAAAACAAAAAACCCCCAAAACATAACAGTTTTCCATCAAACGTGACCGAACAACACCAGAGGGTTAAATAAATAAATTTATAAATATAGCTGCAAGCAGCGATTATTGGGGTTTAAGCGCTTAAGGCATTTAAGCAAATAAGGAAAAAGACACTGTGTAAAGGCTGCAACTAGCTAAATCATTTTTGGCAACTGCATGTAATTTACCATAGAAATATGAAGTTTATTAACATCTATGACTGTAATAGCACCACCTTTGGTCAGATTGGAGGAGTTCGCAATAGTAAGTTTTTTAAATAATGTCAAATATTTAAAGAACAATTTGAATGACAGCAGTGGTCCTAGAGGCAAAGTTGTCCAGAATCAAGAGATCGATCGTACGATGGCAAGATCTAGTGTATGCGTGAATGTATGAACGCTTTCTGCAAGTTGAAGGCATTTACCATAAAAATACATTGTTTTTGAATCCTTTTTAACTGTTAAAGTGCCGTCCTGTGGTCTGATCACCTTAAAACTTTGCATGCTTGTTTAGAATCGCCACGCATGTGCTCGCCAGGATTCGAGAAGTTTTGAGTTTTCCTTTAGGCTTTATAGGATTTTTGTTTAGAATCACGTCGCAGGTGCTCACCAGGTTTTGTGAAGTTTGGAGTTATCCTTTAGGCTTAATAGGATTTTGGGTAAATTTGGACAGGCCCCTTTTCTAAATGACCCCATTATAACTTCCCTAAGGGTAAATTTCAATTTTTTTTTATAATTATTGACATAGAGAGTCCAGAGAATTGTACTGCAGTGTTTTTTTCCAGCAAAAAACCTAGGACTAGTTCGCAAAAGTAGGCTTTTTACATCTTCTCAATCATTTAACAAACGATTTGATTGACAGCAGTGGTTCTGAAGCAAAGTTGTCCGGAATGAGGAGTTCTATCATATGATAAGAATATTGTGTGTATGTGTGAAAAACTGTGCAACGTACAGTCATTTATGCCTTTGAAAAATGCGATATCGCCCCCCAGTGGCTGATTTCTTTCAAATTTATCACATACCTTTGGGGTCGTGTGTCAAACAGGCCCACCCAGTTTTGTTCTGTTCGGCCTCCGTTAACCTTGTCTAATAGGTGCTCAAACTTTGTCGGCCAATGGCGGCCATGTTTTTTGAGATACTCAAATGTCCTTGTAGACACTTGTGGCACTTTGGACCAAGACCGTGCACACCAATTTTCATGTTGATAGGACAAATGGTTGCGCAGTTATAGCCATTTTTATGTTTTTTTCCCTCTTATAGCACCACCAAGTGGCCAAGCTCCACGATTTTTTTCCTGTGACCTCAGATTGAGCTCGTACTTAAAGGCGGGCGTACACGGTGCGATTCTGAAGGTCGGAACGTCGTGAGCTCTGGCACATGTCACGATTGAGTTTATCCGAAAATCGTACGGAGGCAGTCACACACGACACGAATTTACTACGATTTTACAAACTCTGACGTAAGCGTACGTTTCACGTCATTCATAAAAATTATGGATTCTGAGGATGAAATAGTTTTCTTGTGATGTCCAAAAAATAAATAAATAAACAAAGACAAAGGACATGGCAAAGAGAATGGCTGAAAAGCAGAGAAGTCATCTTCTAATTGGTCAACTTTGTTCAACCGCACATACGCCACGAATTTAAACCAACAGCATCCGATTTTTTTTTACATGTTTGAAAATGATCGGGAGGACAGGAGGTGCTCGTAACGTCTCGGATCGGCCCATAATTATTCTCACACGGTACGAGCCGCGACCATGCGAACATCTGCGATTTTCTCCCGAGAGAAAAAAATCGCCTGCGAGCTCGTACGACAGCAAAAATCGCACCGTGTACGCCCGCCTTAAGTGGTCTGAGTTTGGCGAAGATATCTCATTCCATTCAGGAGTTATTAAATCGCCCGTGATAATCCCGCTGCTCCTTAATAAGGAGGGGAACTCTCCTCTATATCTCAGGATTGGATGGACCCAATATTTCCTTTCTTTTTCTCTTTTTAAGAAGCATTTAGCATTGGATTAATTAATACGCATCGGACTCATTGTGCAAGGTTTCTGTGCGTGACAAATTTTTAGGATGACGAATACGAAAAAATGCATATGAAAATTTCGGACTCCGTGTGCAAGGACCTCTCCCACTTGCATTGTTGTCTGTAAACCCTTGCTTCCACATTAATCTTGTTTATTTTAAAATCTTTTATATATCCCTCCATGGCATATTTAATTCCCACTTGAATGGTGGTTTTTCTGTGTCAAAAATTTATCAAAAACATCTTGGGACAAGGTTTCACACTGATTTCTGTCATTGTAAGACAGTTATCAACTCCGTTTGTTTCTCCGAGTTCACAACTGTAAATAAGGGGGCGGGGCTTACTGATAGGTCAGTTGTACATGCAAACATGTAAATTACACTCTGGTGCAACTGTTAGGTTGACCAAATTTTAGGTTTCAAAAAAAGAGGACAGTGGGGGCAGGACGCAGACGGGGGGTTAAAGTAGCCCCCGAAGTAGAGCAATGACGATATCCCATATAAAAACTCAGAATATGTAACTTCCATATCTAAAATACATATTCTACAGTCACCATTTTGCAGACTGATCATAAACACAGCTAAAAGGCTTCCTAGTAGTGGTCATCTTTCACAAAACGTAACATCTACCACAGTTTTATCATAGGTAGAATGCAAAATGTTTCAATACAAGCATTTCATTCAAATGGAATTCATGCAATATTTCAAACCTTTAACCCACAGGAGAAAATCAACCCGCCTGCAGCACTTTAAAATCAGCCCAATTCTGTGGGAGAAATGCGGATTTGGCAACCCTACATCTAACATGAGCTGCATCCAAAGTGATTTAAATACTCTGATATTGATAGCGGCTTCCTGATGCGCGAAAATTATATGCAATATTAGAGTGTTTGTGTGAGCAGACGGTGATGGTCAGAAATTGGGAGCAGGATTAAGAAAACAGTCTTGTGCGGGGCTTTAAAGTGCCCCTATAATGGATTTTTGAAAATGACCTTTCATGCAGTGTGTGTAACACAGCTCTAAGTGAATGAAAACGTCCTGCAAAGTTTTAAATCTGAAAGTGCACCGTGTATAAAGTTATTGTCTCTCAAAAGAAAGAGTCGACTCTGAATCATTGAAACGAGTCGTTTTTTAAAACATCCTTGACGTCAACATGAAACATTAGCATATTGCCCGCCCACTTGTTGGTCTTTTCGCGTTGGTCTGAATGAAAATGCAAATTCATTCTTTGCCACGAGGTGCCGCTTTTGGAGCGTAAAATAGCGGTTTCCCCGGTAACGCTGTACACAAAGCAGCACTGTGCTCACAAACGCTGCTTTATCAGGCATCACAGGCGAGATGAAAAGAACATGAGACCAATCGGACCAATCACCGCAGATTAGCGTCACGCAAAGGAGGGGTTTGGAAAAATGAATCGTTGAGCGAATTGTTTGGGAGTCGTTGAGCAAGTAAGGTAAAAATAAATAAAAATAAATGACCCTGGACCACAAAACCAGTCATAAGGGTACATTTTTGGAAATTGAGATTTATACATCTGAAAGCTGAATATATAAGCTTTCCATTGATGTATGGTTAGGATAGGACAATATTTGGCCGAGATACAACTATTTGAAAATCTGGAATCTGAGGGTGCAAAAAAATAGATTTTTGGCATTAAAGAAAAATCAATAATTTTGAGCGATACAATGTATTGTTGGCTATTGCTACAAATATACCTGTGCTACTTATGACTGCTTTTGTGGTCCAGGGTCACATATTATAAGACAATGAAAGTGTTTTTTGACCTTGCATGCATGTCAACCTGTTGCTGGGGACCAGTGTTCGAACTATACCGTGGTCTTTGGGGGAGCCCACTTGTTTTTTTAGGCCTAAGACATCGAGAGTCACGCAGACCTATAACAACCCAGCCACAACACATAATTGCGAATAACATGCCTTACCTTGACACAGAATCGACCACAGAGTCCAACGTTTATATTTTTACTACGAATCTTTGAGTTAACAAACATGTACTAAACATGAGTGGAATTTGCACCGCAGCGCCCCCACACCTTGATGCTCATGACAAGAATAGCATGTATAGTTATCTTTATTGAAGTTAATTAGGTTTAAATCGCCGTCATGCTTGAATGAATGTTATTTTTGCAATTTTACACATAATAATCCACGATGATCACATTACACAAAACTGAAATTGCACGTCAAAATAACACATTGTGAATATTTTTTGAGACCCCCCAAAATTTCACAAATCACGTTTTCAGGGGAGCCCATGTCTTATTAAGGGGAGCCGAGCTCCCCCTAGCTCCCCCGTAGTTCGCACCCTGCTGGGGACTCCCGAAACCAAAATATGAATAATAGGGGCAGTTTAATACAAAAATGCACACAATGAATGGCGTATATAGAAAGCAAAGGCCGAATCCTGGACATTTTGAGCGATTTAGAAAATTTTTTAAGGTCCAAAAAGAGGACATGTCCGGGGTAAAGAAGACGTATGGTTACCATAGCAACTGTCCTAGCCCTCTGTTCTCTGTACTTCAATCAGCAGGCAGTGATTTCATACTGACGAGTGAAATGAAGCCCAGCGGATTGTGGAATTCACCCGTCTCTGAGGAATATCTCATGAATGCCGAAGCCCAGAGTTTGGATGCGTCTCCTTTGGAATCAGGCGAGCGATATGAAATCCGTCGGCCGGATCCGAGCGCGCAGCACCATGTGGAGGAAGCGTACAGAACGGGTGAGCGTGCGAATCCATCAGCGGCGGAGAGGAGCTCATGCTGCCCTCAGTGCGGAAAGACCTTCACCACACGCTTCTACCTGAAGATCCACCAGCGCATCCACACCGGAGAGAGACCCTACACCTGTCCGCAGTGCGGAAAAGGCTTCTACTGCAACTCACACCTGATCTCACACCAGCGCTCGCACACCGGAGAGAAACCCTACAGCTGCGAGGAGTGCGGCAAGTCCTACTCGCACTTAAACTCGCTCAAACTACACCAGCGCAGCCACACCGAAGAAGAGGCGTATGCGTACTGGTGATTCATGAAATGCCACGACTTCGTTTGACAATTCGTCACATATTTTGTATGATAAATTATAAAACAACATTGCTTTGTTTTATATACTGCCTTTTTTTGAGTAGCTGGTCAACAGAGTACTTTTATATCCTTTTTTAATCTATTTGTTAAACATTGTCTGATACATAAAATGCATTGCATTTATATATAAATTAGTGCTGTCAAACGATTAATCGCGATTAATTGCATCCAAAATAAACGTTTTTGTTTACATAATATAGCCTATGTGTGTGTACTGTGTATATTTATGTATATTACATATTTACATGTCTATATATTTATATTCTTAAAATGTATTGTATACATAAATATTTAATATATAAACATAACGTATTTTTCTTATATATATACATGCATGTGTTTGTATATATATATATATACTAACGTTATGCTTTTCTATTTGTAAATGATGAATCTTCTCTTTGAAATGCCTGTCTGACGTCCAAAAGTTTGCGACGGCAAAAGTGAAGTGCGTAAACTACCTGCTTTGCCTGCAAGCGTGCAATCTTCAAAAGAACAATCACTTGTGCTTTTTTGTTTGAAAATTGGTGGAACGATGTGTGCTGGTTTGCTTTTGTTCTTGTTGAATAGCAAGAGGTGCAACCCTTTTTCATTTCCTCGCATGTTTTGACCTATTAAGTTTTGAAGGGCAGCAGCGAGGAAACATTTTTGAATATTTATTGTTTTTCTTGATTTTTGTTTCTCCTCTACTTGATCACATAATTGCTTTTTGAATCTGTGAACCGTATAATGGAAATGTCAAGAAGAAAAGTATAGATCATGACACCTATACCTGATGAAAATGAGTTATGATTTACCGTTTATGATTTCCTGAGCTGGGTCATTTCGAGCCGCTCTCAGGACTGTAGGTTTGCTTATTAATTACTCAACCATGAATAAATAAATGTGTAAGAACGTCAGTTTTCCAGTTGAGGTTTATTACCTATATGATAAGTCATATAGTAGAATAGTCAATCTGTGAACCATATAATGAAAATGTCAAAAATAACACAATAGATAATGGCAGTTATGATTTAATATTTATAATTACATTAGTACTGGCAGTAAAGCTGATTAATTACTCTAGAACAAATAGATGGATAAGTATAAACGGCATGTTTCCAGATAAGGTGCTTTGAGAAAAATCAGCACCCGCTCGCCGACATTGTTGAGTAGTAACTGATTACATGTAATCTGGATTATGTAATCAGATTTGAAAAATGAAGTACTTGTAATTAGATTACATTTGAAAATACTCGTAATCAGACTACAGTTACTTTTTTATTGATTACACGATTACATATTATTTACACAATAGCAATTAATTATTTAATATATTATTAATATATTTTCTTTCTCTTTATATTTTTATATCAATATGGTACAAGATTATCCTATTTAAATCAATGTAAAAAAAACTATTTAGGTCAAAAGTAATCTAAAAGTAATAAAAATTTAGTCTGATTATATTACCTGAAATGTGTAATGTAAAGGATTACATGGATTACATTACTAACTACTATATATATATACAGTATATATACATAAATATACACAGTACACATATATTATGTAAACAAAAACTTATTTTGGATGCGATTAATCACGATTAATCGTTTGAACGTACTAAAGTTTTTATTTTTTTTTATAACCTATAAAGCCTGTGCTATGCTGTTTTGCTGTATTTTTTGTTTGTGTGGGTTATTTAATATGGGAGCACCATTTTGCTATTGACAATAAAAATCCATGACTTTCTGATGGATATGATGGATAAAGGCCTCTCGTGTCTTAATGGATCATTGGGCGGGAGTGATGTAATTTACACTGTTATGTATTGCAGGACTGTGTGTTTGTTTCTGTGTGGTTTGTCGGATCTGCAGATTCATTTGCATTGTGTAAATCGGTAAACTCAATAAGGCTTTCTAATGAATGTCAGAGAGGAAATAATTTAAATCAAATAAAATAATATAGAGATGCTCACGCCAACAACAGTAATATTTCTGCTGATGAATAACCCAAAAATAAATTAAATTGAATTAAATAAAATGTAATACAGAGATGCTCAAGCAACAGTACTATGTTCAGTAAAAATAAAATAATAAAGTTACAATAAAATTGAATATAAAGATGCTCAAACTAACAACAGTAGTATGTCCAATAATAAACAAAGGTACTGATCAATAATAAATAATCAAATTAAATTAACAAATAAAATGAATGTAGATACTCATACTAACAGCAGAAGTATTTTCAAAAATAAACTAATAATAAATACCAATTCTTAAATAAATCTTAATACAGAGCTGCTCAAACAACAGTTGTGTTCAATAATAAAATCAAATAAAACTAATTCAAATTTAATTTAATATAGAGATGCTTAAACTAACAACAGTACTATGTGCAATACTAAATAATAAAATAACTGAATAATAAAATTTAATACAGAGCTGCTCAAACAACAGTTCTGTTCAATAATAAAATCAAATAAAATTAATTCAAATTTAATTTAATAAAGAGATGCTTAAACTAACAACAGTACTATGTGCAATACTAAATAATAAAGAAACAATCCAATAATTAATCAAATTGAAATAAAACATTAATACAGAGATGCTTACTACTGTTCAAAAATAAATAATTAAATAACATTAATACAGAGATGCTCAAACAGCAATATGTCCAATAAGTAAATAATGTAATAATAAGAAATATAAATTAAATTAATAAAATAAAACTTAACATAGAGATTCTCAAGCTAACGACAGTATTACGCCCAGTAATAAATAAATAATCCAATGACTTTTATTTTGACGGATGTTTCCTCAAAGCTCCAGTCCACCGGAAACACGCCCCCTCATCTGGATTATGATGTGTGTCTATGTCTAGTAATATAAGAGCAGAGTTTTTTGAGCAGCGAGATGAGCTCGGCAGCGAGGTTACAGACGCAGATCTCCGCGATCATGGACGTGCTGGCGAAGGCGGCGGTGGCGGAGATCAGTCAGCTGCTGGAGGAAGACGCTGCTGCTCTTCATCAGGAGATCCGGAGGAGGAACGAGGAGATCCGGGCACTGAAGACGCGACTGCTGCTCACTGAGAGCGAACTACAGAGAGTCACTGCAGACAGATGCTCCATCGGAGTACAGGTGGATATCGTGGACACGAGTGAGCCTGCAGTCCTGCTGGGTGTGTGTTTTATTTAGTTATATACATATACATACATACATACATACATGTGTGTATATATATACACACACACACACACACATATATATATATAC